GGTATGGAGGGCCACATAACCTTACTATTTCATGTTATTTACTACGGTCGAAGACATATTATGTGAGATTATACTGATAAAGGTAGGAAATAATTTTGTTACTGATTTTATTTATATTGGGATCACAAAAATAAGAATTCTCCGAAACAAATCCATTTTCCTTACTATAAATTAGCAAATGAAAGGCTACCGTACCTTATTATTATAATGTACAAACATAAATAATTAGTTATTGTTGGTTGACTGGGATCATTAACAAGAATTATTATAAAAACATTAACATTTCCTGAGCATTAATTTGCAAATGAAAGGCTACCCTAGTGAGATGGTTGATGTTGCATTTGGGACACCAACTCATCAATATCAGGCTGTATGAATGATGTGGCTACACGCAGGGTACTTTCCAAATGTTCATCAGTAAGTGAAGATCTATACTTGTTTTTAACCAGATTCATTTTTGAAAAGAGCTGCTCACATACATATGTGCTACCAAACACTGCCATCATTTTCCTTGCATGAGCAGAGTTTTGGATACACTGTTACTGATACATGCTTCTTATAAAACTGGTATATTGAACTATCATCAAACTTCTTTTTTAGCTCATCATTGCATTGTAGTTCGATTATTTCCATTTGTGGTATTTTCGTCAGCTGATACACCCGAGCGATCACATTACAAGCAGACAAACACAGCAATGGAGCAGCAGCACTCATACACACGCACATACATACACAACGAACTGGATCTCACTTCTCCGCAAATCTGTGCACACACTCTGCAGTACATGATATACTTGCACTCGCACTCACTTGTACTAACACACATCAAACCACACAAAAGTTTTGCTTGCAAATTTTCTAAAGTCAATCACAAAACTGCAACATTAACAACTTACAGTACGTACTGGTAATCACAAATCAACCACAACCAATGAAGTCACAACGGAGACTGGTGAGGCAGCGGTACTGACAGGCGAGAGCACACGTACCATACTACAGTACGTGAACCATACGTGTCAGACTCATAGACAGACAGCCAATGATCACTCAATCAAATAATTAAAAATGTCAAGTAATATATTATTTTCTGTTCTAATATAATTAAAATCTGTACCTTAGTGAACGAAATAGAAAAAATATGGTGATACTGGTACACGAGAATATGAATTTTGTCAAACTTTCGGTGGGCTCTACTTGGTAACTCACTCACTCACTCTCTCTCTCTCTCTCTCTCTCTCTCTCTCTCTCTCTCTCTCTCTCTCTCTCTCTCTCTCTCTCTCTCTCTCTCTCTCTCTGAGGGCCGCACTATAGTTTATTTATTTTTAGGAGAAAGGGCCGCAATGAAAGCCTTTGAGGGCCGCAGGTTGCACAGGGCTGCATTAGGCCCTTTGCCACGCGACTCCACGACCTCGTCGAGAAAGTCGGTATAGATATCTACCATCGCGCCATAGGAAACCCCCAACTTTTCTATCACGCCACAGGTTCAGAGAGATCCTTATTAAACATCTACCTTTTTCATATATATATATATATATATATATATATATATATATATATATATATATATATATATATATATATGTACACACACACACACACACACACACACACACACACACACACACACACACACACACACACACACACACACACACACACACACACACACAGACGGCTCCAAGACAAATGAAGGTGTGGATATGGGTGTATGGTTGACTGAATGTGAATTGAAGTTCAGACTGCCGAATCATACATCAAGCCTTCTTTCTGAACTTTCCATTGATATAGCTATAGATTTTGCACTATCGACGACCCACGATAGAATAGTTATCTTTTCAGATGCACTAAGTTCACTTAGAGTTATTAACTCATTAGAAACCATTAAAATGAACTGCTGGGTAATATCATTCGTAAGCTACATGGTACCAACAAATCAATCAAGCTAATATGGTATCCATGACAATGAGCAGGCTGATAAATTAGCTGGGTCAACTAGTGATCAGGACCTAAGCATAGTTCGTACAGATCTCAGGTGTTTTGTGTCTCTTATAAAAGCAAAAATACATCTGTGGCAAAGTGAGTGGACCAACCTACAAATACACAATAAGATTAAAACAACAATAGAACTGTGGGACACAGCCCACATGAAAGTCATAAAAGTGCTCACTGCCCCCAATGCAACACCAGCCTTACCATTAACCATCTGTTAATAGTATGCCCAAAACTCAGACCACAGACAATCACTCCAAATTTATAATACAAAGTAATCGCTTTTCTAAGGGAGACAAAACTTTATGACCATATATAGATTGATAAAATAATATGATCCATTGGCTTAATAACCTTGGCCACATGCCGCTTGTTGAAAGCCAAGAAATCCAACAAAGAAGAATTCTTACGTCATACAAAATAAACCAATAATGGAAAGGTTTCAACGTCGTCTCTACAGTATAATAATAATCAAACACGGCAACATTTGGGAGTTATTAACAAATATGAATATCAAGTTGCTTCAAGTCATTTTGACTACCATAAATTGAAGAGTTACTACTGAAATGTCCAACCACTTGCTATGCCTGGAAGACCAACCAAAAAGACCATTCCGGATCATTAAAAACACCTATAATTCTGTCAACTTCTGGTTCCCAACCTAGATTATTTTAATGTTTCCTCAAAGTACAGGAACTAAATATTCCACGAGGACCCATTGATTCTTCGACTGGCACCTTTTAAACTATAACTGCATTTTTTTTTTTTTTTTTTTTTTTTTTTGCTTATGATTTTGTTTATTCTAACTACCAAGCAGTATGCAATTAAATATTCTACATCTTTAGTAAATATAATAACATCCCTTAACGCACAGCAGCTAAGAAGAGTTTTGCTGTGAAATCGATTTTTACTAATGTCCCCCTTCAAGAAACTAGATTATAGTTAATGATATAGACACCACCTATCTCAGCAAGGTAAAAGACTTATCTACCCAGACAGGAGGGGTAACCTTTCACCCCCCCCCCCTTTTTTTTTTTATCAAGCCTGGTACATGGGATCAGAGGAGCCTGAGTTGAACAACGGCAACACCGCAACCACCTGATTCACTCAATAGATTGTTTTACTCTTGTACTTTTTCACTGTATATATATATATATATATATATATATATATATATATATATATATATTATTTTTGGTTAGATTTTGTTTTTTGTTTTATTAGAACTAATTGTTTTTACTGTCTACCTGCCTTTTGGTTTGGTTCATTGCTAAATCACTGAAACCATTAAGGACATACATCTAGAGTGAGTGAGTGTGTGTGTGTGTGGGGGGGGGGGGGGTGCGTGAAAATTCCACCAATTCTACCAATCACACACGATGAAAATCTTTCATTCAAATATATTGCAAGTAAAATGTCGCCATTTAGTAGGTTACCTTACCAGAAGAGCAGATAAAAGAGACCATTAATTAAACAATCAAATGCCAGAATTACAGCAGAGCCAAATAGTCACGTACCTTTTTGAGACAGAACTAGTGGCGAAGTCAGGGCCCTGGCCAAATGGTGGGTGTTGGCCCCTGGTTCAGCTCTGTAAATTCAAAATTGGTATCAAACTACTAATACAAAATAGGTGTTATACTACTAATACAAAATAGGTGTCATACTACTAATACAAAATAGTGTCATACTACTAATACAAAATAGGTGTCATACTACTAATACAAAATAGGTGTCATACTACTAATACACCATAAAACGTGTAGCAGATGACATTTACAGAAGGCTGATAGTGTAGTACGCACAAGAAACTAGTCAAAATTCAAAATGAAAACAAATTTTCATGATAAAAAACATTCATATTATGTGTGTGCGCTGGTTAATATACAACATGCTTGCAACAAGGGAAAATACGTGTCATACATTTTACTGTCTGGTATTTTCGTTATTTTGCCGTACATAAGGTCTAAATAGTATGATGTATGTTTTTATGTACTCACCTGAAACTATCTTCTGGTGTGATTTTTGAAATGACTTAACATGCTTCAAATATTAAACCACTGAAAATTTGATATCTTCAAATGATCACTGCATTTCAAAGTAGTCGAGTCAAAAGTAGTGGCAGATTCAGGTGTTTTGTTTTCCACTCATTGGTGTCACTTGTTGGAATAAGTACTTCTAGTTAGGAACTGATCATTTGTCAGTACCGAGGACCTCTCTTTTCAAACTTCTTTTACCTGTTCAAAGAGAAAAGGCAAGTAATAGCAGCACGTCGTCGTGTGTTTCGGGTAATGTGACTGAACGAGAGAAGGGCAGGAGTAAATTTGAACTGAAGACAAGAGTTTTGTACAGACGACAACCGTATGTGGACGGCAATGCACTCGTGTGTGGACCTCTTTACAGTGACACGCCCCACAGTGTCATAAGTTAAAACGTATTTAAGTGAAAACATACTCTCATATTATGCGGTTATAGTTAGATGCATGCTTGCGAACTCAAATTGCCGAGTGCACTTGCAGACATACATACATACATCCGCACGCAAATACCTATTTACTTACGTTCATGTAGACAGATATTTAGGCACCAAATAGGTATTTGGATAGTTTGATATATCCAATTAAGCTAGCTGTATGTACATATATACATTCTGATACTGTTATAACAAGGTTACACACACACACACACACACACACACACACACACACACACACACACACACACACACACACACACACACACACACACACACACACACACACACACACACACATATATATGTATATATATATATATATATATATATATATATATATATATATATATATATATATATACTTATTTATTTATTTATCTATTGAATAAAGAGACAACAACAAATATAAGTTTCATCAAATTTCAATGTACTGGCTGCAGAATTTACTAACAAACAGAATAATACGTCTAAACACGAATGCAACATTTCACATGGTCCTCGAACGCGTCACCGCTTTTGTAAACATTCCAGAATCAGCTGTTTGTCGTCAACATGTCAGAGGAGGTTAATCAAGAGAAAGACGCATGTGGAGAGGATACGAAGTTGGATTATGACCAGAAAACTAAAAAGGGAGAATTAGCAGTCAAAGTGATATGCCTTGGCGACAGTGCCGTGGGAAAGTCCAAGTAAGTTTAGGGAATATAGCGGCCTAAGTATAAGGGTCGATGGTTTAAGATAGCTTGCCTCATATCGACCGAATATTAGGGGAAAAAGTTTTAGGCATAGTTTTGGCAAGCATTCAGGAAAGCACCATACAAAAATTTGTTTAAATTGCAGTGGGATATTTAGACGGGCAGTGCACCCATATCAAAATAAATAGTACTAGTATTTAATGTTACAAACTCTGCAAAATGAAACTGGTATTGATGTATTGCATATGTTTTGTTCACTATGGCACTTTTAAGTCAGTGTTGACCACTGTAAGTAACAGTGTAAGGCCAGGAACTAAACTGGGAAATTTCAAGTAACTAGAAGGGTAATATTTTAGTTTCACACAACCATCAAACTTTGAAATTAATATTTTTAATTCAGTTATTGACAGTATAGTAGCTATAGAATATAGAGGTAAATTTGTTTTATTTCATTTATCAATAAAACATTGTTGCTTTTTAGATCCTCCTTAGACAATATCAAGACAGAAATTAGTCAGATGACTGGGAGATGTTTCACATGCATGCGATGCATGTGGAAAACCTCAGATTCACAAAGAAATGCAACAGTTGACACAAGGCCTTAAACATATACCAATGTATTACATACTACACAACTTTCTTATCACCAGCTTTCAAATGGAAGTATCATAGATGAAAAATGTCATATTATTTTGTTTACATTCTGCCATGGGAATGTGTAAAAATAAAACTATACCCAAAAAAGATCTATTTGTAATACTTAAGGGGGCTATGCCTCCTATAATCTTCTGTTCCCTGCTGGTCTACAAAATCATCACAGGATATTCTGGCAAGTCCAGAAATAATAATTTTCTAGAACACATCAACATCTTGAAGATAATTAAACTTGACATCATTGAATTATATCAATCTCAACTTACTACATAAAACAGAAATAATAGCATTGCTATTAGCCACACACCAGGGAGAGTCACCACTCAAATAAGCTTATTGCCTGGATGTTAAATTTATAATTTCACACAGTCATCCAGTTTTGCAATTTGTATTCCTTCTGTTAATTTTTTTGTGAAATGTCTCTGCACACAGATGGCTCTGCTAGTTCTTAGTCACAAAGAAGTCAATTAATAGACCTTGTGACCTTACCTGATTTCACCTATCCTTGAATTGGTGGGAAAATATATTTTTTAGAAATGCTATAATTATCAATGGAGTTATTTTTATTATAAGCATTATTATTAGTATAATGTTATAGACATTTGTAACAGCAAGGTGCAAGACAGGCAGTACTCGTAAATGGCTCATTGGGGACTTCGTACAAGGGTGGGCATAGCTGTACATACATGCCATGGGTTTGGGTTCATTATCAACATTGCAATTTCTGTGAATTTCTTGTAATATTTCTTTTGCAAACAATATAAATGACAAAGTTGCCACACCCCTCTGAGTCAAAGTCTTTATTACTTCAGCCTCTGCTTGGAAATCCACCAACATTGCCATACTGGTTGCTGTGGATTTACTGTCCACACAGGATTTGTTGCAACATTTTTTCTTAATGAAGTTAAAAAGTAAAGAAAATGTCAGTAAGACACTTGTTGTCTATATGAGCATGATAAAACTGATAATGATAGTCATAGGTCAGGTAAACCTATATTATTCTTACAATAGATATTTACATCTTAAAAAGTAAAGAAAATGTCAGTAAGACACTTGTTGTCTATATGAGCATGATAAAACTGATAATGATAGTCATAGGTCAGGTAAACCTATATTATTCTTACAATAGATATTTACAATATATTCTTTTGATTTCAGGCTTGTAGAAAGGTTTTTGATGGATGGCTATCAACACCAGCAGCTGTCAACATTTGCTCTGACACTCTACAGATATCGCACTAAACTAGAAAATAAAGATGTTCTTGTGGGTAAGTGTATTCATATATTGATTATCTTTAATAAGTGAATATGTATCAGGGAATGTAATGAAATGCCTCAAAAATACGATGCAATTTTAATATTTCTTTCTCAAATAAGAATAAAAGAAATTCATGGTCAGTCAGCCTTAAAAGTGATAAGACATTCATGCTGTTATTTTATGGAGCAAATTACTTCATTGTTTTTAGAAAGAGTTCATATGTGTCACAAATTGTCTAAGAAGCTTATTGGCTTATTGTATTTCTAAATTGTGTTTTGTATCAACTTTCTGAGGGTACAGAAATTGGCAGAAGCATTGGTCTTCTCCTCAGCACTGCCAGACACCTGAGCTGCTAGCTTTTGCAATAACCTGTATTAATCAAGCATTTCCTTACCATAAAAAGATTATCCTTATGTTTAATCATGTAATACTACAGACTCAGTGATGTATGTCATACAGAAAAATGGGAGAAGCAGCAGTCGTTGCTCTCAGTTGGGCAATGTCAGGGTAGTATTACGCTTTGACAAAATGAATTGGTTATTGGAATTTTTAAAGTTACATACTAGAGATGAAGGAAATCATTGTTGTGTTACAGTTAGAACAATTCTTGATTGAAACACTTTGATTATGGCCATCCATGGTATGATTGAAAGACACCACCACCATTGTATTTCTATTTTGTTTGATAATGTTATGATTATATTTTTTCAGTGTACTTATAATTTTTTTCTCTCATTTAACCCTACAAAGAAGGTATCAAAGATCTCTGGGTGTCACTCACTCCAGTGGCTTCTGGCAACTATCTAGCCTTTTGGCAACTATCTTGCCTTTTGGCTGGGGAGTCCGCTCAACGCCTATAGCCATACCTGTCATGATGAGTTGGTTTTTCATGAAAGCTATTGGTGTGTGCAGCTATAAGAGCAGCTATAAGAGGTTAAATGCAGTAATCAGTTTCCTCATTTTGTCACCAGTAGCCTAATTAAAGCCCTCTCACTTTCCAGATTTTTGGGACACAGCAGGGCAAGAAAGATTTCAGACAATGCATGCATCATACTATCATCAGGTTTCTATATTTTATTGTTTGTGGAATTTTTTTTTGCCTATGAAGACCTCTAATATGAAATTCAAAAATAGGTTGTCAGTTTTCTATGAAATATGTTTATAAACTCAATTGACTTACGCAGTTTCAGGAGGCCATGCCAACTTTGCTTAGTTCACGTAGTAACCCTACCCCTGAGAAACTTATTTTGTGGTTTCCCTTGTGATACTTTTCATATAGTGGGATGTTGTGACCCATGTTTGCAGTTGAGTACCATAGCTAAAAGCAGCCATGCTGGAACAGACCCTTTTTGTGCTCTTCTTGTGGCATAAAGTCTAGTTTGGAGTTAAATCTGCTTCTATTGTTGCTGCTACTACAACAGCAGTGTGAGAAGCAGTAGGGATAGAGGAGGAGAGAAATTGTTAGTGCTTTGGGGCCATATTTCAGGGAATGTAGTAGATTTTCTGTATTAAAATTACAGCTACTTAGTGAAAAATCAATCTCGGTCAGTTCACATCCTGTAAATGAGTTAATCACATGATAATTGCACAGTGCTCACTTTTATTATTATTATTAGTGCTGTCAGTGTTTGTCATTTTAAACTAAATTTAATAAGTGAATAGTAGGGTAATTCTGGTAATTATTATAATTCCCATTAAGAGTTACCAAAGAAACATCAGCAGACCACACTCCTCTGGTCTCAGATATACCCTGACAACTATTATCTGGTCCCACAATAGAATCATTAAATATGCATTGGCAGCTGTCATCAGAACCAAAACTTCTAAGTCAATCCAATGTTGGCAGCTGTCTTCATGGAATCATATGACAGCCCTAGGCTTTCACTAAATTATTAACATTGGTTTTTGTGTCATTACACTCTAATAGTGTCTACTTTCTCAAGAACAGGTGATAATTACATATACGGTTATCATAGAATTGTTTCTCAGGGTTAGGGCTGCCAAGAATTAAATAGGTGGAGCCTCCCGTAACAGCTATTATAAATTTTGTAAATCCCATAGTAATGATAATTTGGTTTGTCTGCTAGGCTCATGCTGCAATCCTGGTATTCGATGGAACGCGGAAAGTCACCTATAAAAATCTTGCAAATTGGTACAAAGAACTCCGTCACTATAGACCCGAAATCCCTTGTTTTTGTGCTGTAAATAAAATAGATGGTAAGTCCTGTCTCTTTATTTTTAGTATACTCTATTTCACTTTGGATTTTTTTTTTTTTTTTTTAACATGCAGTTTTCCTTTTATATCAGCATAAAGTTTGAGGAAAAGGGTTCTATCACATTATTCTTTCTTTTCTTTTCTTTTGATAAATATATTTTGCAGTAAAAGTGATTATACTTTGAGAAGATGACATTCAGAATTTACAGATTTAGTGAAGATAATCTAAGCCTGTGAAACAGCTGAAAATTCTGTTTGAAAAGATCATTGCTCTAAATTAACAGTATTAACTGGGGAAAATAGATGAAGTTTCATTCTTTTTTAGTTTCAGATAAATTATGATGATTATATGTGGTAGTTCATGTGTAATTTCTCCAAAGTATTATGGGTGATTTTTGGAGACATTTGTGTATTACAGTATGTATAGAATTCATGTTGAATTATTTGGAATCAGATATTAGATCAGTTTAATGTTGTTGTTTTTCAGTCATGCAATTGTTAAATCAAAAAGGAGAATGTATTTGGATCTGTGCTTCATTGGTGTAGATCACATACACTATTTCTTTTAATAAACTTCTGAAGATTGAAAAGATACAAAAATTATATCAAAGTTTATAAAGGGAGCTCATGGAAACCAGATGAAAGGAAGACACTATATAATGATCATGTCAGGCAAGAAGGAAAAAAGGTTTGGGGATTCAGGGATCACCATGAGAGAAAATATATAGTACAGTATAATATGAGAATGCCAGTATGCACTGGGTTTTTGTATTTAATGTGTAGGAAATGTATGTGAACAGAAATAATACCTTAAATTATTCTGTATTGGTCCTATTTTTCCTTCAGAAATTATTGGAAGATGTTCAGGGTTGTTTATTGGGTTCATTAATAGTCAGTGATAAGAAAGGGATTGAAGCTTATATTGATACTTTTGAAAATAAAAGTCAAAATAAGATTTGGAAAGGATAGGTGTGAGAAAAACAAGGGATGGAAGAAAATTATGCAATAGTTGAAGTCATTGATCATTATCTTAACACTATGATGAAGGAATTATTGGAAGATGTTCAGGGTTGTTTATTGGGTTCATTAATAGTCAGTGATAAGAAAGGGATTGAAGCTTATATTGATACTTTTGAAAATAAAAGTCAAAATAAGATTTGGAAAGGATAGGTGTGAGAAAAATGATGAAGGAATTATTGGAAGATGTTCAGGGTTGTTTATTGGGTTCATTAATAGTCAGTGATAAGAAAGGGATTGAAGCTTATATTGATACTTTTGAAAATAAAAGTCAAAATAAGATTTGGAAAGGATAGGTGTGAGAAAAACAAGGGATGGAAGAAAATTATGCAATAGTTGAAGTCATTGATCATTATCTTAACACTATGATGAAGGAATTATTGGAAGATGTTCAGGGTTGTTTATTGGGTTCATTAATAGTCAGTGATAAGAAAGGGATTGAAGCTTATATTGATACTTTTGAAAATAAAAGTCAAAATAAGATTTGGAAAGGATAGGTGTGAGAAAAACAAGGGATGGAAGAAAATTATGCAATAGTTGAAGTCATTGATCATTATCTTAACACTATGATGAAGGAATTATTGGAAGATGTTCAGGGTTGTTTATTGGGTTCATTAATAGTCAGTGATAAGAAAGGGATTGAAGCTTATATTGATACTTTTGAACAAGGGATGGAAGAAAATTATGCAATAGTTGAAGTCATTGATCATTATCTTAACACTATGATGAAGGAATAGTATATGCCTTTTCTCCTATCAGCAAGATAAATTGCCTTAAGAAAATGTATTGGTATGCAGTTGGATGAAGACTGTATTAGCTATTCATGGTATACTTTCTTCCAGAAAATGAAGACATCGCTGGAAAGAGTTTTGCTTTCCCAGAAAAGAACAATATCCCCATGTATTATGTTTCAGCATCCAATGGAACCAATGTTGTCAAGGTAAGTTATTCTTTTCATTAAACTTGTATTGTGGCAATTTGGTACATATAAAAATATCAAGATAAAGCTATAAAAGTGCTATAACTGTACTGAAAGGTGAAACAGTCTCATATTTAGACAAATATATTTAGTGTTTCTCTTCCATTGTATCAACCCAGTAGTCTGTTTTGTTATTCATCAGAATAAAGTAGAATGGTTGAATAAGATGGAGTGTAATATAAAGTAATAAAAGTTAACTGCAGGAGGAAGTTGGGAGGATAGATAACATCTTACAATATCTACAAAATGTATCTAATAAATGTTTAGATGTTTCCCTCTTTTTCCTTTACAGTTATTCAAAGATGCCATTAATGCTGCATACCAGTATAAAAAGAATCCAACTGACTTCACAGATCAGATAATGGAAGAGCTAGAGATGGATTGATGATTCAAGTCAAGCATAGAAATAGATAGGTCTTGCAAGCACAATCATGCCATAGATACAGTATGTGATAAAGAGTATTTGCACTTGCCTTTTTTAAGCAGTAAGGAATTATCTTTAAAGGGACCATCAAGATGATTTTGTTGCTCCCAGTTTACACACTTTTATGTTACTAATTTTTTCATATGTTAATAGATCATTCAAATTGATGTAATAACTTTCACATGAAGTTTTTACCCAACAATGATGCTGCCAGAAATTTACCGATTGACTGGCTTTAGCTATACCCGTCATAAGGAGATGGTTTTCCTGATGACTATAAGCGTACCCAGTTGAAAAATAAAACCCATAAATCAAAGATAAATCCAATCATGGATTTCCTGAGCAATTTATGCCTTACTCGATTGTTGGTAAATGCCAATGGGGGAAGAAATCATAGCATCTACTTTTTCACTTTGCATCATGTTAATGCAATTGCAACATCAGATTTTAAAAACCCCTCTGAGTAAATGAGAATAAATAGGAATAAAAGTGCTCTCTAGAATTTTTTTTCCCCTCTTTAATAACAATAGGATTGGCAATCCTATGAGTGATGCCTCTTCAAGGAAATACTGGGCCTTTGGTCTTGCCAGTTAAATATAATCCACTCAGAGCCACTTGTCACAACTATTATGCCTTAAGGATTTAGCAAGGCATTGATACCACCCAGTATGCAGTATATTATATATAGCAGCAGTATGCTATATATAGTGAAAATTAGCCGTATGCTATATATAGTGAAAATTAGCCGTATGCTATATATAGTGAAAATTAGCCGTATGCTATATATAGTGAAAATTAG